TGACCTTCTCTAAAGCGTGGAATGCCCATTTTCGACAGTCAAGTACTTTTGGGAGAACTTGCGATTGTCCACCACAGAGCTGGATGGCAAACATTGACAATATTTCCAAGAGCATCCATTTCTATGCCTTTCTCTGACTCTTCCAGTCTCCCTGATGTAACACGCTGATGACATTGTAAGAGTTCAGTGGCCAGTTCCAGCGAAGAAAATCCAGCCCGACGCCTCAACATTGAGGTCAGAGTGTCATCCGCAGGTTAAAATGTATAAAGATGTCCACTTCGGTGACTTTCAGTTACTTTACCAGTGCCTCTGTATTTCTGTTGTCTGAGAATAGCCTCATCATTGTGACTCTGACAGTCACTGGATGAGTTACAGAAAGGCATAGAAATGTTAATAGTTCAAACAGCAGTTGTGATGGTTGATGTTCAGTCATGCAAAGGACGCGAAACCTTAAGCAGTTGGATCTGTGGAGTGAAACGTTTAAAAAGATGGTCGAATTAAGCTCACCAGTTAAAGGTTAGCGACTACTTCTTGTGAGTAGTGTCAAGGACTGACAACACAGAGAATGGCAGACTCACAAGGCTTTTGAAATGCGACTGGTCAGACTCCAAAGGGTCCCAGGGGAGCCGGAACAGGAATCTGACAGGGCATCCTCACGTCTGTCCAGCACGGTGGCTCTGCACGACAGCCTGGGTAGCTGCAGGGTGCCAGAGAAGAGCCTCTTGACGGCATATCTGACGTAGGACTTTTGAAGGAGCTCGGTACAGGAAGCCTGGTCCGAAGACCCCCATTGTCGCTGGAAGGCACAGACTGTAGGTTTCAGACTCGGAACAGGAGGCTATGGAACTTAAGACGACAACTCTGACTGCATTTGGAATAAGGCCATTCGTTTTGTGTTAAATTTCAGCCAAATTTAAAAGGTGGAAGAATGTTTTATCAAACAAAAATGTCTGGTGAGGAATCCTTACAAGGCAGCATGAGGCCATTGCTCAGATCACCTACTTTTTGGTCAAATGCTTCATTTTTTTCGAGAAAACTGGGTGGTTTTACCCCAAACACCGCATTCTGATAACAACAAAAAGCAGAGAAAGACCCGTGCAATGACAACCAGAAGAACGACTATGAGGCCAATATTTTCTGCTTTTGGGACACCCCAAACTATAAAACAATCAAAACAAGACCAAGAAAGTGATTTCGGTGGTAAAATGGTCTATTTTAAAATATACAACCAAGAAGCACATTATGAGCGAAGCAGACTCACCACAAGGCTTAAGTTGGATGTCAGTGGCTTTTGTTTTACATGGCATTTGCCATCACCTTGATCGTGACACACTTTTTTACTGGTCTAAAGTACGGACAGACTCTCTTCAAATGTCGGGTGCCTAAAACTGTCCTGTCTTTCCCATGTGACAAGATAAAATAACTGAACTCAAAAAGCTTTTTCTTCAACTCAAAAGTTGAACTGATTTAAAATCCAAAGTATAATGAAGTGCGGCAAATCTACCGTCATCTAGTCATTCGTTATTTCGAATCCTGGACTTTACAGACAAGCTGCGACAGATCCTGTGGAAAGCACCGCATCCTGTTGACAAACATATCTGACAAATAGAATCCTTAGTGGCAGTCAACACTTGGATTCCATCTGACAAATATAAAAGTACAGCTGTAAATAAGTTAAGAGTGTGCAAGTATACCTTGTTTTGGTAGCTCCCAAGCATTTGAAGGTTTTGCAAATTAATGTCTTTATAGACAGTGTATTGACATTCATATACAGTGATGTGAAAAAGTGTTGGGCACCCTTCCTGATTTCCTATTTTTTGCATGTTTGTCACACTTAAATGTTTCAGATCATCACACAAATTTAAACATTCAGTCAAAAATAACACAAGTAAACTCAAAATGCAGTTTTTAAAGTTTTTATTATCAGAGATGAAAGTGGACTTTCCTGAAAATTCCGGAAAAAAAAAATGTGGCTTCCGTTCTCGCCGAAATTTCGAAATCTCCGAGATATGGCGAGGCCATGAGAATGCGGGGTGAGGGG